CATTCATCAACTCAGTCTAATATACAAAATGAGTCATAACAATTAGAAATTAACTGCAATGCAATGAATACTATCTCTGAATCAATGCTGTATTGTCTGTGCTGGATTTCCTCTCTTCTTTGCACTCATCATCAAAACAAAAACACTTCTTCATCTCAATTCATTGATTCTAGAGTAGCACTAAAGACCGCAACCATTTGCAAAGTAGTCAGTTCACAGATATAGGCAGCAGAGGGAATAACATCTCTGTTAATACAGTTTGCTATTAGTAAATCTTGGTGCAGACAGCACCACATGGGCTTCTTAAAAATTGGGTAACACTTGTCATCATCACTGAGAATTCTGGACAGTGATTAATGAAGTATACAATTTCCATAAAGAATAAAATGAACAGTATAACCATTGAGAAAAATATAATTTTTTAAAAAGTTCCTCCGTTGAAATAGGAATATATCTCATAGTGTAGAAGTATTTTGCTTTAGTCAAAACAAGTTTTAAAGTAAAAATTTTCCCATGACCTTCTAGAACAGTCTTGCACTTAAATTCAATTTTGCAGTTTGAAGGACAAACAAAAACAAAGACAAGCCCCTAAACCCTCCAGCTTGACAGAGTCATCTCTTCTTCAGGTCTGATTCTACAAGACAAGGACAGACATGGCCTCTGTTAATATAGTCATACAAACAAATTCGTGGCAAAATGGTGCCTTTACCACCATCATCCAGAATCTCATTGTCACTACCATGTAGGAAAAAATGGAACTTTCATTCATCCTGTGAGAAACCTTCATTCACACACAGTCAGAGCTTCCCAGTGCACTGGACGAAGTGGATGCAGTTTGGGGAAAGGAAGGAGGTATCAGACTGTCCTGCCATGTTTACCAGGGAATACAACCCTTGGTTATATTCCAGCACACACAGATGAAACCTTTTCTCTGGCTCACATATCAGAAAAAGAAGCTGCTATGCAGCTCTGTCCAAACACATACATCAGCTCTCACAGTTCCTACTAAACCTCGAGATAAATGCATAAATCACATACATTTTATTTTGGGAAAGAGCAAGATTACAAATAGGCAATGATCTAACATTGCTTCCCACACTGGAAACCTAAACTCATGAGCTGAGAGCTAATTTTAGTGTAATAAATTCTTTAGAGACTTGTAGAACTTTTTTTTTAATTTGTGGAAAAAATATTTGTAAAAATGTGTTTGTAGGATTGGTTGGGCTTTTTTTTTTTTTTTTTTTTTACTTTAGATGTAAAAGGACTAAAACTGAGGAAAAGGCAACAAAACCTAAATTCCCATTGAAGCCAGATAATATAGAAACTCAGTATTGTCCTTTTAGATCACGTTGTGATCCAATACATAACACACCTATGAATTATCTGAAAAAGGTGCTCTTTCTGTTCATACTTTATCTTGGTAGAAAGCAACCATATCATGGAATCACCAGATCACTAAGCAGTTTTACAAGTACAAGAAATCTCTGTCTTGGGATCCCACACTGCTCTAAACATGAGATTTAAATTAAATTTTAATTGAATTGACATTGTCTCTTTAATCAGAGGGCAATTTCAAAGGGCAGTTTCTCATATATTTAATATATACATCTAAGATAAATTGAATCCATATTATTTTGTTGCAAAGAAAACAAAGGATACCTAAATCCATAATATTTTATCATATTAGTTTAGTATACATGATATTATTACAACAAAAATTTTCCAACATTTCCAACATTTTTCTCTTATTCTCTGTCAAAATCCAAAATCATGTCCAGAAGCTATAATGACATTTACAATTCCTCTCAAAATGTGTGTGAATTCACTGAAAAGCACCTGATGTCTACAGGTGATAGTAGAATTTTCTCCCAAAAAATAAAAAGTCCAAAATTTTCTATAAAATCCCTTCTCAATAGAGGTATTCAGTACAGTCATAAAACAGGATGTATTGATGGTTTAAATCAAAACTTATTACTTGCAAATCTTACCAATGAATTTACGGATTATGACACTGATATCTTTAAATAGGTTTCTGTTTCCTTAAGCTAACATGGGAATATTCTACTCCAGGACAGATACTCCTGGATGATTTCCAGACTGGCTCTTCAGAGTTGTGTAGATTAAACAACAGTAACAAAAAGCCATATTTTAGAAAATATTTTTGTTTTAAAAAAGCAATCACTATCTTGTGTTCCACAAATTTTCTCTTTCCATAAGAATTAACTTCTGTGTATACCCTTGGGAGAATTGCAGAGGAAAAAACAATGAAGGGAAAAAAATATTTAGAGGAACTTTGAAAATCTGATGCAAATTCACAGTTAAATTGTGTGTAGTCTCTAACACAGAAAGTGAGAGTGAGAAAGTGTCAGCAGCAAAAGAGCAGCATCCAGAGAAATCTAAAATATCACCAAAGTGATCCTTGCCCATGTAAAGCCTTTATGGACTTGTGCTACACTGCCACTGTATAAATACATGGAGAAGATGAAATTAAACCTAGGCTATATATATATCTCTTTCAATTCTAGAATATATTTCACAAAAAGTTATTTAAATTTTTAAATCCAAAAATCATCTTGACCACGCATTTGATATTGAAAAAGCAAACAAAAAAAAAAAGTTAATGGTATGTCTCAAGTCACAAAATATTTTAGAGAAGGATTCAGAAATAAACCTCAGATCCCCTGGTTCTTAGTTTCTGTCTTTGTCTGCTCCTCTCCCTTCAGCCAGTTTTTCACCTCCTTTCAGCTATTCTTGGCAGCTAACAAAAGTGGTAAGCTTTCAGGTGTCTTTGAACTTTAAAGACATTCAGTTGCAAATCATTTTCTTCAAGTTCATCTTCCAAAGTCCAGCGACCCAAAAATAGACTATTGCATTGATATTTTTTCTAGGTCTCCACCGATGATGTGGGAGAGAAGACTGCTGGAGGTCAGTCCTATAAATCTCATGTTAACTATGACTGTCCACATCAAATGTATTTAAACCAAGAATAGTTGCAAAAGTTCAATGCAAAAGTAAATGAACACCAGACTGAAAAAACCCTACCTTATGAATCCCTCTAAAGTACAATACAGAAGAATGCTGAGACATACACGACTTCTCAAATATTTTTCCTCTCTATGATGATGTTTTATGGAAGTTAATGTTGTGAGGAAAGACTGATAAACTAAATGAAAGACTGGATTTGTAAAAACATTACATCTGTCAAGCAAAAAAAAACCACTGTCAGACATGAAAGATACCAGTTTGGCTTCACTTCAATGTGATTGTGAAATAACAAAGGCCATTAGGTGTGTGAAACATTGCAAATAAAACATCAGGGAGACCTGACAACATCTTCTATATTACCAGTAAGGAAAAGCAAAGCTAAGGGGATCTACCTGTCTTAAAGAGGTAGACTTTAGCATTTACCTCAAACAGTTTTTTGTTACACTTTGAAGATTTGAAACAAAACCAAATGCAGAGGAAAGAAGGTATTCTTTTACTCCTTTTCTGTACATGAAGGGAATGGAGAACAAAATTTTCCACTTAATATATCAGCAAAGGAGAATGTAATGGTGGTTTGCAATTCATTTCTGTTCAATGCACTTCACAGCACTGGATCTGAGAGAACTCTGACACGTCCCTTCACAAAAAGAATAATTATTTGGAACTGTGACTTAAAGGTAATGGAGAAAGCCTTGTCTTATGAACTATGAGGCACAGCTTAAGTACTTCTCCATCTCCCACTATAGTGAGATGCTTTAATTTCAAGGTAGTGTACTTGGAGCATTATAGTTGATCATCCTGTTCACAAATAACATTCCATTTTTATAAATGAGTTCATAAAACTTACATGAAAATGCAAAAGTTTCTTCTAAAACAAGGAGGCCTTTTTTATTTTTATTTTTATTTTTATTACCATTATGTTGGGAAGAAGGCTTGTATGGAAAGCATATCCTGGTTATAAAAGCTTTTTCCTTTTTCTTCTGCCTCTTCTGGCTACTGCTTCTTATCAGTATTCTTGTTTCCAAGCTTTATTTTCTAAACAACACAAATTCTACCTATTTTCTTAAAGCTGTCAATTTCACAAGCTAAAAAAAAAATAAACAAGGAACATCTTCTTTTCCCCACCACTTAATGAGCTTATTGATGGGAATCAGATTTCAAGTACCAAATGACTCATTTACTCACTAATTTCATTGGGTAAGAGATGTGTGAAAATTGAAATATGACATTTCTCAGGTTGTCCTAAACATTCATGGAACCACAATGTGCTCAATGTGTAGGTTTTTTTTTTGTTGTTGTTGTTTTTTTTTTGGTTTTTTTTTGTAAAGTTAATTTATTACTCCAAGTAATATGACTTTCAGTATTTTCCAATAAAAATCTGTTTGTCAAAAAATTTATGATACTTCTATTTCTTGTCCTAATGCTACTTTCTCTGAATTTATACTAAACACATAAATTGATATTACTAAATACTGAGGATATGGATAACAAGATGAATAAGCCAGCTAGAATGCTCCACAAATCTCTAATTTCGAATTACCATGACATTTGCCACTTCCAACCTTACACTGGTAACTGGCATTTTGTTCAATCATTATAAATTTGTTTAAGTATTTAAATAAAGACAGAAGAACCACTAAGAGGTTTTTGACAGTGTAGCAAATTACACAGGTTTGTTAAATGCTGGTGCAAGGCAGTGTGGCTAAGTGTTCCCATGGGAACTGGGTGGAGAGCAGGATCAGGGCCAATTTCTCCAGTCTATGCAAGGATATTTATCAAGTGAACCACACTCTGAAACTGTATGCTAAAAACCTATCTACCTGCCAGTAAATGTTAATGCACAATAAAATTAAGCGCACTAGCTATTTTTCACTGATTTCTCACTTTTACTGCAAACTAAATGCTGGATACTTTTTTTTTTTTTAATTAAAATAGAGTAAGTTCCTTAGCCTAAGGGCGCTCTCTAGTTACACCTATGGAGGTATTTTACAGAAAGCTAAAAGCTGTAGTCTGCTCACACTCTGAACCAGCAGGAAGTTTTTTAGTAACACAAAATGCCACACTGAGCACAACCTAATTGAAAGCTGTATAAAGCAGATTGGACTCTCCCTGTCATATGGGGGTGTGATGCTGCCAGTGCTTAAGGTCCAGTGAACTAATTCAATCTCCTGTGAGCAATCTGAGTGTTCTCAACATCTAGTTAGTGAATGCTCTAAAACCACTCCTGAATTTACCCTATCTTAATTTCTCTAGGCAGATAAGGCCCAATACAATCAATCTACTTCTTTTGTGTCCCACTTTGAGGTGGTCAAGGGAGCAAGGTAGAATCAGAGAAGCTGTAAATTTGCCTCAAGGAAGAGGAAATCAAGTGTAAATGAGACAAATAAATTCTTGCTATATACTTTAGGCTTTAGCTTAGACTCATGGTACTTAAAGAGAAATTTACATATAAGAATAAAAGAAAACAATTACAGTAGAAAGAGCAAAAAGCAGAAGGAAGTCATGGTCAAGATTAAGGTAAAAACATGAAGATGGGAAGGAGGGATCTGCTTTATTCAACAAATGCACTTTGTTTTCTCGCATGCAATTTTGCATGCTAAAATTTAAATGCTAAAGCTTAAATGTAATATACTTCATTATTTACCTTACTCATGGATTTCACCAAAAAATTTTAAACCAAGGATGTAAGCTGCCTTGTTTCCTAACTCATTCAGGAAATGATCATCAGTAAAATCATTGTGGAGATGCTTATCATTCCAATTAAAGGCAACTCTATCAGCATGGTTATTGAATTCACAAACCCCTTTTTATTAGCTCTGCCTCCCTCTTTTTACATCTGGTGGTGTTTATCCGATTTAGGTGAATGGTTATTTTTGTCTACTAAAAGAAAGGTAAGTTATTTACTCACAAAAACCCCATTTAATTATGAACTCTAAAATTCACTCCAGCATAAACTGGATCCAATTAACTAAATCACATGATTTTGCCTGTCTGGAATTACAGAAAACATAGAGCCAGTCTTGAGGCAGTGGGTCTACATCCAGCATGTATGAGGGCTCATTCAATCTCACAGTGTTTTCTGTAAGAAACAAAAAATGGCTCAAGTAGTTGTGGTGGAAGAAAAGAGAAACATGAGACCCAAATATTCACCTGTTTTTCTAAAGGCCTCAGAAAATCTGAGAGAAGTTGTGGCTCCGCTATTAGATATTCTGGTAGTATTGGGGCACTGCCAACACCAGCAGGACAGAGCAACATTACCATGTCTCTATGAGGCAACAGGAAGATATTTGCCATTGACATACTTGTCTCTTCATCATCTTTTACACAAGTACACACTGCAACCTGCCCCAATGCCTCTGCTGTACGTGTGCATTCACTGAGGTAATATACTTCCCGCTCTATCTCCACTTTATTTCCTCTGTTCAAAGATCCAAGAGTTGTTACGTCAAAAGTGTGTCTTTTATTGCCCATAAACATCACTTTAGTGTTAGTACAGCTGCCTTCATTGGACCTGTCTTTACAATTGCAAACAAAAGACTTGATTTAGCACATACTAGACTGCCTTACTGCTGAGCTGGGAAAGCTCCACATGTGCTAGCAGCTTGCTTCCCTTGGATTATGGTCCTAGGGCTCTAAAATCCTTTAAACATAAATAAAGTTAAAAGATCCTCAGAAAATACAGATTTGCAGACCCATCAATCTGATGTTTCTGAAGAACCAAAGGAACATGAAGACTCTGGAAATGGGATCTCTTTTGCCAAAGGAAAACAATTATACTATTTTATATTTCTACACCTTCCACTCCAAGACACTTGACAATATTTTAGCATTTAGCAAGAGAACACACCTATTAATGAAAACACTATTTTTTCCCAAACAATAAAATGGAGATTAAATTATATTTTAAGAAACAAAAAGATCTCTTGTTCTAAGTTTGCTTCCAAGACCTGACTGTTTGACTGAGATTTTTACTTAATCACACTAAATGATGATAGAAAGAATGTAAAATTTTTATTATTTGAGGAAAACAGGAGTTAGATTGAGTTGAAATGACACCAACAAAGTATATTTCAGACAACTTACATTTGAATTTCTGATACATGTGACTTTTAAGGTGCATTCATTAAGTAATGTATCGTACCCTACATTGGGTAATGGAGTTATTATTTCAGGGGTTTTTCCCTCAAAATTAAGTTCAGTTTCATGAAGTACTGAAATAGCTGACCAATGAAGTGATTTCAAATACAAAACTTGAATGAGGTGATACCATACCAATTGAAGTCTTTTTAAGTCAACTCTGCAATGCAGAAACTTTATTATACCTTCATACTAATCAATAGAGCATGCAAATACTGACAGTAAGGACTATTAAAACAGGCAAAGAAGTTTTATGGGATTCATCTTAACAACTACCCACTTGAAAAAAAACAAGAAAAAGGTAATTATGTAAATTTCTTATGATAATTAAACCTGAATTTGTATATTCAATAATTCACTCTGTCTTCACATATCAATATTGTACCAGTATACAACATAATTCACTTTCACAATGTGATATCAGATGCCTCTAGCTATATTAAATATGTAAATTTAAAAAAATAAGTCAATTCAAAGTCATAAATTGATTCCTAAAATATCATCGCCATGAAACAAAATAAATAATTTTAGCTAAAACTTTAGCTAAGCGCATTCATACTTCTTTTTAGGCAGAATCTTCCTACACACAAGCAACAACTCTGAGCATAGGAAACAAAAGTTTATTGGCAAGAATGTGTTAACACATTCCTCTTGTGAAGAAGAACTTATCAACTTTATTGTGAACTTATCAGATTACAAAGATTTGTTCAGACCGCGTGCAGAAAAAAATCCTTTCCCCATTTGTGGCAGGATAGAGGGTTTAAAGCACAAAGAGAAAACAATGGAACAGTACTAATGATCAAGGCCCAATATTAAAAAAACCTCTTCCTTTCTGTTCTCTGTGTCTTGAAATGCTGAAGTTAATAAGCCTTCATTTTGGCAAGGTCTTTATGAAAAGGAGGAGAGAACCTATGATTAATGGGTTGCAGCAAAAATAAATAAATGAGGACAAGATGATACTGTGAAAGTAAGCTTGAATAGGTAGCAGAAAGTTGCCAAATAAGCTGAATAGTTGAAAACCGCCTTTTGTAAAATGAATCACTCTATTCTTTATTAAAAATTTAGAAATTAGTCCTTTACTTAAACATTTTAAAAATATAGTCAAATTATTGCACAAATTATTTTATTAAATTATTGTTGATTTTATTAGGTAAGTTATTTCCTTAAATCAATTGGAACTATACCTCTTATTTGACACTGCTGCAGTGCCAGAGGAAAAATCTTGAATCTTGAAATATATCACTGCATGGTATATTATTGATGATTTGTAGTATAATGGAGTACTAGGACAACTACAACACATACTGTTCTTCTGTTCCTCTGCTCTTTCTCACCTTAGGAGCATGAGAAGTGCAATTTGAAAATAAGGATTTCAGAAGCAGCATTTTAAAGGGAATTCAGCGTTCATGGCTGTGGTTTTCTATTTGTCTCATAGAATTCTTCTATTATGATTTTTTTTGAAGTAGAAAAAAGTGTCCTTTAAGTGTTTTGGGTACTTTAAACTTGACTTCCCCTGCAGTCCACATCTATGTATATTGGAATTCACCATTGCCTCATACGAGTCTTGTGATTTTCCATTCCCTCCAAAGTGTCCTATTTGGAATAAATTTTTCAAATAAAGAAAGGTTCTGAAAGCTTGGTTTGTAAAAGATCCTTTTTTTTCCTCTAACTCTTTGCATGAAAAATTCTTTCTGTCTATGGAATCTGTTTGAACTTTTTTGTCACTGAATCCTAGGCTTCTTGGAATTTTAAAAAAGACCATAGTTGCCTATAATTTGTAGAGTTGCACAGACTTAGTTTGTGTCCACTCAAATGCATTAACTTTCCATTTCCAAATGTCTCTCAAATATTGATTCATAACACTCATGTTTACAAGATTCTCTCTCCTAAAAGAAATTATGTATTTTTGTAAGCGTATGAGGCAAGCATTATTTTGGCAGATGGGGAAAGATCATGGGTAAGTGTCGGATCTCAAGATCTCAGTCCTGAGATGCTGAGCCTCCGAGACCACCTTGGGGGGCTCGGGAGTCCTGGAATGTTGCCAGAAGTGTCTGGTAGCTGGACTTTAACCCTATACAGGAGACGACAAGGATGAGGGCTTCACCGGGTGAATGGTGAAGGGGTTAGTTAATTAGAGGGTGAGACACAAGGTTTAAGATTTATGTACAGGGGGGTTTAGAGGAGTAAGATGGAGGAATTGGGGTGTGTCCTGCCCTCCTTCTTCTTCCTCTTCTCCTCCATCTTCTTTGGCCACGGTGGCACCTTTGGATTGGTTATTACTAAGAGTACACCAAGTTATAAGAATAGATGGTATTGGGGAAAAATGATAAATACTGTACACGTAACAATGGGTATAAAGATACGTGGCTGCCCGGGAGGGCAGAGACAGTGTGCCCATGGCTGACTGCTGAGCAGATCTCTGGTGGCTGAAAGAACATCTTTTAGATAAACAATTAATAAACATAAAAACCGAAAGAAGAACTGAAGCCTCTTCTCGTCCTTCGATACGCGGGCTGCCCCAAGGCCACCCCGGGCCTTTCCAGGCCCCTCAAACAGCCGAGATAAACCGGACAGGTAAGAAATTTGAAATAAGACCAGGAAAAAGAGTTAGGTAAAACATAAAAGGGAGCATACAGGTCCCGGGTTGATACAAAAGTAATTTCCATAGAAATTGTGGCTGGATGAAGACAAAAACTTTAAGAAACCTTGGATTGAAAAGAAATAGTAAGATACAGATAAACTGTAGCGACTGCGAACAATGGGCAAAGTGTGGTACTCTCACTGCACTTTGTGCCTTTCTAACTTCAGTCACTGCTGTGCAGCCACTATCACAAAACCTCCTTTAAGCCATAGTTTCTGCTCGTGTTACAAGGTCTTATTTACGCCTCTTCTAAAACAGTACTGAAAATCTTAGTCCTTGTTAATAAGATGCTTAACTGTTATCAAGGTTGAAATTCAGTTTGCTAGACAATTGCATCCATTTGTCTCCATTCACTGTCATCAAGGCTAGGTCACTGTAGACTGAATGCTGAGATTGACTTAATTATAAGTTAGGAATTCACATGCAAACGTCCCATACACCAGCCCAAAACTGGCCCCTTTTCAATCTGATATTAGATACTCATTCACGGATGGAGTATAATTTTTTCATTTTATATGTAAATAACTTGCTTTTCTTCCCTAACTAGAGAGTGTTGAGTTATTCATGGTAATGTATTCTTTCATCATTTTTTTTCAGAGTGGCAGTTTCTTCCAAACTTGAAACATCTCACAGCAAGCAGAGAAACCAACATCTTTTTCACACAGCATGATATTAGAATATTTGGCTAAAGGCCCTTAAACATTTAAAAGAAACAAACAAACAAACAAAAATCTTATTCATGATCCTTGTGTTTACTTGTTTTGCTCAATTTGTTCTTTCATGCTTGCAGCTCACAAAAGAAATTTTGATGGCTTGGTGCTTTAATGGCCTGGTGTTTTATCTTTATAAGGAAAGGGAGCCTTTTCTCCATATATTTCCAATGATTTTTAAAGGAAAAAAACATGAAGCTATGTCTGAGAGAGGTTTTTCTTGTAAAATGTCATGCTTCTCAGAGCCTCACATTCAGTATGCTGAGGAACATTTATTGAAGGACTGCACACTGTAAGGTTTAACCAAGCAACATATTCTTTTGCTGTACAGAGCGATGTTAAGCTTATTCAGTGACACTGTTTGAAACTTCAAGGTTACTCTGAATTTTTTTAAAATGTCTTTTTCAGTACTTTACCTCTTTCAAGATAAGTTAGGAAGGTATGATATTGTAAAAAACTCTTTCCTATTACAAATATTAAATAAAATGATGTGCAACACAAAAGTGATAGGTGTGATGTTGATATATGCACAATAATACCACAACTTCATAATTTTGGACAAAATGTAACAATCTAATTAATGTACTACATCATTTGTTGGCAGGTATTACGATTTTGAAAGACACAACATAGAAAACCAAATGTGAGAAGTATTAATTAAAATCTTTATTTCTCTACAGCGGTTGTGAAATTATGGTTTTACTGTGTGAAAGGATGGTTGCTTTACTACTGCCCTGGATACTTTCTAACTTGGCTGCACAGGTTTGTCTCAGACATCTGACATCATGCAATAATTGTTCTCTAACTAAAACCCTGTGAAATTAATTCTCCAAAGTACTCATAGAATCACAGAATGATTTGGGTTAAAAGAAATAGTAAGGATCATCCAGTTCCAAACCCGTCATGGGCAGGGAATCTTCCACTAAACCAGGCTACTCAAATGCCTTAGACTTTATTAGAAACATAATTTTGTTTAATATTACTGTTCTCTCTAGTTAACACTTCTGTCATTAAAAAAAGGAATATTTACCTTAAAAAGCAATTTTCTTTTAAAATCATTTGCTTTCTGTAAAGCACCAATAACTCTTCCTCTTTGATACTTGAAATTATGCTACTAACAATGTATTTGTACCATAGTATTTGCTCTCCATCATAAGACAAATAGTTTTTGTAATTTCTGCTATTGGGCAACTATCTTACCTTTAGTGAAAAAAATGCAGAATTTCAAAAAGGTATACAAATGTTTCATTCATTGTCACAAAGGAATATCTGAATAATTTTCTCACATACAGCAGCCTAAATGCCAAGAAAAACCCTGTATTTTTAATAGGAAATCTTAATCAATTTTATGATAGAAAATTTATAAACTGTGAGATAAAGGATGTTCGTCCTCTTTACCTTGAATCTGGGAACATATGATCCCTGCATTGTTCTTTTGGGAATCCCTACTTCATTACTTCATCCCCATGAACAAAGCAATGGTCTTGTCTCATTTTTCCTTCTGAAGAATGCTCTCAAAACACCAAACTGCTACAACTTTTAAGTATAGTAAAGGATATCACTAATGAGATTAGGGGATAGAGTGTACCCTCAACAAATTTGCAGGTGACACCAAGCTGAGTGCTGCTGTTGACACACCTGAAGGACGTAATGTCATCAAGAGGAATCAGAATCTCATGAAGTTTTAACAAGCCCAAGTGCAACGTGTTGCACCTGGGGTTGGTCAGCCCTGATATCAATCCAGGCTGGGGAACCAACAACTGAGAGTAGCCCTACCAAGAAGGGTCTGGGGGTGATGGTTGATGAGAGGCTGAGCATGCCCTGGCAGTGTGTGCTCACAGCCCAGAAAGCCAACTGTATCCTGGTCTGCATCCAAAGCAGCCTGGGCAGCAGGGCAAGGGAGGGGATTCTGCCCATCTGCTCTGCTCTGGTGAGGCCCCCCTTGAAACACAGCATCCAGCTCTGGGGTCTGCAGCGCAAGAAGGACATGGACGTGTTGGAGTGAGTCCAGAGGCGGGCCACCAAGATGATCAGAGGGATCATGTGAGGAAAACCTGAGACAACTGAGTTTGTTCAGACTGGAGGTTTTGAGGTGGCCTAATTTCATCCTTTCAGTATCTAAGCAGAGCCTACAAGGAGAGTGGAGAGAAACTATTTACAAGGGCATGTAGTGACAGGACAAGACTGAACGGCTTCAAACTGAGAGTAGATGTAGATTAGATACTAGGAAGAAACTGTTTATTGTGCAGGGGAACAAATTGCCCAGAGAATTTGGGGATGCCATGTATCTTCAGTAAAAATTTTCTTCCTAATGTTTTACTGGAACCTCCCCTGGCACTGCTTGAAGACATTTCCTCCTGTCCCATTGCTGGTTGCCTTGGAGTAGAGGCCAAGCTCCACATGGCTACAGCCTCCTTTCAGGTAGTTGTAGAGAGTGATATGGTCTCCCCTGAGCCTCCTTTTCTTCAGGCTAAACCCCCCAGCTGCCTCAGCTGCTGCTCCTCGCAGGACTTGTGCTCCAAACCCTTCACCAGCTCCACTGCCCTTCCCCAGACTCGATCCAGCCCCTCAATGTCCTTCTTGAAATGAGGGGCCCAGAACTGAACACAGGATTTGAGGCCTCACCAGTGCCAGGTAGTGGGGAAAATCACTTCCCTGGTTCTTCTGGCCACGTTATTCTTGATAGAGGCCAGGATGCCATTGGCCTTCCTGGCTACCTGGGCACATACTGGCTCATGTTCAGCTACTGTCAACCAGCACCCCCAGGTGCTGGGCCACTTTCCAGCCAGCACCCTTTTCTTCTGGGCCACTTTCCAGCCATTCTGTCTCAAATTTGTCTCATTAATTTAAGAATTATCTCAAGTACAATAAAACAAGGAATGAGGGGAAGTTTTTGGTGAAAAATTTCTAATAATTTACATTAAAATTATCACCATTTTATTATTTATGAGTTTAATATGCATACTCTACTTCAGCCAAGAGAAGCCCATCTTAGCAAAAAAGATAAACAGGCTGTCTAATATAGGCATCTATTATTCTCATTTCATTGCCATTTGGCTTTTGTTTCATGATTCTCTAAAAACAATCCAGCAGTGCATATGTGTATTTGTTGGGGGTGTGGAAGATAAACAAAAGATTATTTTTAAAATTATCTTGGTTTCTGAAAGAGAGAAACATATAAATGAGGTTTGTAGACAAAAAAGAAGGTTTAAAGTATGCTATTCCCTGCCTGATTTGAATAGGGCCTATTATCAAAACTTCTCTTCAAACTGCCTTATGATCAGAGTCAGTCTCATTATATGGGATTCTCTTAGCCACTGGTTAGTTAGCATTCTTAATGAATTCATTGAGTTGAATGGAGATGAGAATACATAGTTTTCACTCAAATGCAAATATGAACACAGGAATAATCTGGGATGCCAGCAGGAGTATGCTTTAGACTGAAGTGGGAAAAACACAACTGTCAAAATCCAAGGTCCCTAATAATGTCAGCAGATATTCTTGTGAACACAAACAGTATGAAAGCCGGGGAAAGTCTCCAAGCAATATCAGAAACTGCAAGATTATGAGAACACTTATCTACAAAATTTGTTTTACAAGAGAAATTTTTTGTGTGTGACTGGATGACAGGGGAGACAGTGCTGAACTTCCGCTGTGGAAATTCAGAAATGATGGACTGCAGAATTCCCCTCAAATGCTTGAACATTTCTGATGTTCTATCTGTCCCATGATCACTACATCTCTGTCTAGCACAGAGTGATCCTAAACCAGACTGTGATCATACAGTCAGTAATCACAAGGCTCAGTTAAGGCAAGCAGGTAATTACCAGATGACATTAAGAGAACATGATTCACAGTTTAACCTAATTACATGCATCAGAAATATGATTACTACATTTTATAAAGGTTTTTCAGTCCCCTTTAATTTGACAGCTAGCATATAAAATATGTTTTTCCTCTCTAAAACAAACAAGCATCAAAATGTCTTCATAGCACATAGGTTATGGATTAAATAAAATCTACCACAGTTACATAGAAATTATAGAAAATCCCACAATAAGGATGTACAGCAACAAATCAAAAGGGGACAGATTTTGACAACTGGACTTCCTTCTCATTGTGGAGTCCAGCTTAAAATTTTGTAATGGCTGTAATTTAATTATTAGTTTGCAGCCAGAATTTGATCAAAGTGACTGATGTCTGACCAAGGACAGTTGCAATAATTATTGTATACACAGTATTTAGGAATGCTGATCAGCAGGGCTTTCATACACAATCATGTCAATTCAACATATATCATTTAAAACAAAACAGACTTATCTTTTCAACATAACAGAAGATGCAGAAATACTAATATAAAATTGCTTAATGCACTCTGTATGTGTAATATATGTTTAGATGGCAGAAAATAAAGGGCAGCGATTGTCTTCACTCTCAAAATTTAAAGAATTTAAGAATGAAAATTTGTTTTACAATGAGTAATTGAATTAATGTTTTCACATGTTTAGTTGTAAAATTGTTTGTTTTGGAACCATATCC